AGGATCAATACATGTGGAGCTGTGTTTAGGCACAGCTGCTGGCACTGGAGGCTGTGCTGGGAGAGGCAGACAGAGAAGCAGTTTAGCTGGAAAGGCTGAACACAGAGCCCTGCCCTGCCGGAGCAGCGGGGCTAAGGCTAATTTGTGTGTAATTCTGACTTTTGCATTTGTTGTTGCCTTGAGGCAGTAAGGAGGAGCTGTGTGGCTACTCTAAACAAAAATAGGCTAGGAAAGAAGTTTGTGTCTCACTGAGGATGCCTGAGCTCTTTTTAATAACAAGTATGCTGAAAAAGGGACACATGTCTGTGTGTGTGTGTCTATGCTTACTGTACAGCTGGCAAGGCAGGGCTATATACCTTAATGTGCTTGGTTCCTGGAAACACTTCATTAATCCTCTCCCTTCTTTAGGATGCTCCAGGGAAAATTCTGCTTCCCTGAACTCTCCTGGGTAGTCCTACACTACCCCATACTTATTACCTGTTAATCTGCTGGTCCAGGGCATACAATTCCTCCAGCCTCATAGAAAATGCTCTCTTAATTCGGTGCTGTGACAGTGAATATGGAATGAAAAATGGCTTTCAGCCACTTCAGGAGCTTGCTGTTGCTTCTCAGGAGTCCCTGAGGAATCCTGAATGGCTGTGAGGGAGCCAGCTCGTTTCTTGCATCAGTTATTTGGGATACAGTCCCACCCACGTCAGTGATGGTAATTCCAGGCAGTGTCAGCTGGGAGGTAATTTGGTCCCAAGGGCCATCGTTTGCTGCTGTGGATACTCTGTGGATGCTGGGATTGCAGCATGTGGGGGTGGAGGAACTCACAGATCCAATGCTTGTGCTGGTAAAATTGCACAAGCTTTCTTTCCAGCACCAGTGTTCCCATCCCTTTGTTGCCTTTCTGCGCTGAAAATCTTGTTTAGCTACAAAAATCAATTATAAACCGAGGCAGCTCTTGGACTTCTACTAAATGTAAAATTTAATGGTTAGGATGAGAAGTATTTGGGCAGTGAAGTTGCTGTCATGACATCAGCAAGGCAAGGTTTGTAAGGAGAGGTAATGTCTTTTATTAGGCTGGCTGATAAGTTGCTTTGGTGTTTTTCCAACTCCTGTTTGGCCTAATAAAAGCTCCTGCCTCACCTCAGATTTCTTTTTGGTGACATGCTCAGTAACAGAAATCACTGAAGTCAGCCTAGTGCAAGTGGTCATTTTTCCAGACTGCAAACTATGAAACAAACAAGTTTTAATGTTAATTTATATAAATCCAGCTTATTTATTGCCTTGTTTATGTTGCTTTTGTTGTCTAATTTGTGACCTTTGAGGAAAAAAAATATGTTCTTTCATTTATACAGAGTACTCCCTTGAAAATACATCATTGCTTCAATAACATGACTACAAATAAGTAAGATTACGGCACTGGCTGACTGAGAATGACAAGTAACTACAAAGCACAGTCAGGGCTCAGCCTGGCTGCAGTTGCAAAATTCGAAATTTTGGCCTTGATAAGTAGCAAATGGATGGATTAAACTAAAACTGTAAGTAGAACATTGTTTAGCCAAGCTGCCATAACATGAGCTCTCTGAAGTCTGCCTAGTCCATGAACAAAGTCACCGAGCAATGTTCCATGGTAAAAAGCAATGCATAAAGTGAACCTATGCAGTTTCCAGGCTTGTTGGTAATTCCAGCATGTATAATGTATCAAAACAGGAATTTCCTTGCTTGAAATGTAAATATTACAAATCATACATACATCTTCCCTAGCTTATTTGACTGTGTAGGGTGAGGTCTATTTGAAATTCATCCTATCTTTGCTGATTTATGCATGGAAAGGAGTAGTACTCCAGAGAGGGCACGAGGGAAGGCTGGGAGATGCCTGGGTGTTTCCCATGCGCTTACCAGGCTGTTGACCTTGTTCCAGGATCAGATGCTCTCAGGAGCAGCGTTAGCATTGAATTCGCCTTTTCTGTCCTTGTGATGGCTAGCAGAACAAAGTGGAAATGTACTTTAATTTACTGAAGCAAGATTGAATTTACTAATGAAAAAAAACACATTTGGGAGAGCTTCAGTCTGAACAGTAGAGAGGTTGTTTGGGCTGCTCACTTCAAAACTATTTTGGCAAATGTTTCCTTGATGAAAATACAGTCTACTGCTATCTGCATTCACTGTAACTGCTGGTATTACATACCTGAAAGGTCCCTTGTGTTGACTTAGCCTTCATTAAAGGTCTGTGTTTCTCATAGCTGTGACTTAATGGCAAACACCTTGAATCATGGCACTTTGCAGTGGCTGGATGTGATTCCTGAACTGAGTTGCCCTGTCTCCTAAGACCCCTGACACTCTCTTTACAATTTTGGCTTAATGGGTGGCATTTCTCTCTCTTAAGCCCTAGCTGTCTGGAAGTTGGACTTCCTCAGCTGGTGGTGTAGACTTCCTCTGGAGCTGTTATTTTTCCTTGATTTTGATGGTTGGTTGCAGTATGTGGGAATATGAAATGGTAAATGTTGGGCTGGGAAAGGACTTACATTTGCTGTGGGAGAATTAGGCTCCGTTTCTTGCCTTTGCTGTAACACCACAGACACAGATAAAGATCCGGGGCCAGCAATGTAAACACAACAAATTGCAGTGTAAACCCTGCTGCTACCGGGATGGCAGGAGCGGCAGGGGGGAGGCAGAGGTCCCCGATTTCCTTTTGACAGAGTCAGCAAACTCTAATCCTTCTCTGCCAAAGGGAAGTTACCCTACTTGCTCACAGGGATCTCCTGGGATCTCCTGGTCACGTCAGCCTGCATTTAGGCACCACACACGGTAGGAGAACAAATAAAAGAGCAGAGTGTTCTCAGCTGACACCTCCCCCCCACATGGTACATAAACTCTTCCTTGTTGAGGCAGCTTGGCTGGTCATTTTGATTATATTTTGCTGGCATAAGCTCCTTTCCTTTTTCTGTTTATACAAGGGTGTGATCCATCTATTAATTGTATGTAGTTCTTGCTCCTTGTGTCTGCCTTAGGAACCTTCAGGTTTGCACATGTGCACCATCCATAATGTTATGAGTGAGTCGATTTCCCCTTGCCACTATGTATTCCAAATTCAGTCTTCTTACCCATGTTCCTTGTTTTCTTTCCTGATGCAGTGTAAATATCAAGTGCTTATGGACATGTAAAACTGTGTTTGTTAGAATTGAGTTAATCGGGTTAACACTGAATTAATGGGGCAACTAAGTGAAAAAAAACCTCGGTATGTTTGGGATGTTCATCTCTGGAGCAAGGCAGAGTTACTGACTTAGTTTTTCATGTTTCCAGTAGGCCCAAAGAGCATTTTGCTGTGGAAAAGAATAAGTAACTCTACCAATTCTAAGTTTCTGTTAATTGAAGAAAGCCCTTGCCAGGTGATTTCAGGTTTTGGTCTTTTTTCCATGTTGATACTTTGTTCACTTGGGCTCTTCTTCCCCATCCCACCAGCCTGTAGTCATAAAGTATCATCAAATATCATTAATATATCATTAAATAACAAAGTCAGAGCTCTGGTAGTTGCAAACCTGTCCTTGCAGACCTCATCGCTTTTCATAGCAAAGCATCTAAGTGTGGGGCAGAAGGCAATTCTAGTCCTTCCTCCCATGTCAAAGAGAATTTTTGTGTCTAGAACTTGGATAATACTCAGAATGTAACTTTGTTATAATGATGCTAACTGTTAAACAACCACTGAAGTGGTATTGCCAAAAAAAAACAGTGGAAAGCACCCACAGTACCCACTCACATAGGTGCTAACTGTTTTCAAGAGCCGCTTAGCTATGGTCTCCCTGTCACTTCTACCTTAGCATAGTGTGTCACCTTGTACATGGCTAAACTATGTTGAGCTTGTCTGGAAAGAGACCGGAAGTGCTTTAGGGTAGTGGCTCAGTGTGTGTGTGTATAGCTGTGCAGACTGGATCAAACTCTCTTTGATTTTAAGCTCTGCTAATAATTAACCCTCAGCTTGTAGTAACTATCCACCATAATGATAACCACACTGCTGGCTTTTGTCCAGAAGGTTATTGGGTACGTGCTACACAGCATATCCCTCCCACTCTGTGTCTGAGAGCTGACATCTCTGAATGTGAATGAATGAAAGTCTAAATTAAGGACACTTCCTAGCATCTTTTTCCAAATTCTGTTACTTTACAGGCAGATGTCAGTTCACCTATCCTTTGACGTGTTATGTCAGGCTTGGGGATTATTCTTCTTGCAGAGACTTCCTGAAAGCTCTTGAGCACACACTGTGGACTGTGCTCCTGTGTTTGCATTAGTGATGATGCTTTTTCATGTCAAACTGGTTTGACTGTAAAGTGTGTGAGGTTAAGTCCACATCTGTTTTATCTAGATCATTTTTTCCTTCTTCCATGTTATGTGAGGGTGGTTAAGCAAAACAGTAGCTAGGTTTCTCTGTTTCTAATCACGCTTTTTCTCCAACTCCTTGAGGTATGGAAGATGCAAACAGGCAGTGTGTTTATTGCTGCCAGTCACTGATGTTTTGGCAGCTCATGTAGAAAACATTACTGAGAGGCACAGAAATTAATGTAATTTTTGCTTAAAATATCATCTGCTTTAAATATCAGCTGCTCTTGCTGGTCGGATGTTTTATTTCCTTTGCCCTAACTACGTTCCCTCAACTGATTGTCATCAGAGCTGAAATCCTGGCACAGTCGATTTGTGATTGACATTGACCCACATTCTGGTGGCTGAAACTCAGCAAGGGCAAACTTTTCATTGCAAACCAGAGAGAGCTCACACAGCCCAGAAGGGGGAAGGGGAGCAGAATACTCATCTTCCCTCTGTGCCTGCTGCCTGACCCAGTGTGGCGACCCCACTGTTGCTCTGCATCTCGAGTACCCCAGGTAGCCAATTTATGGCCTTTCTTTCAGTGCATGTATGAAGTAAGGAGACTACTGAGCTGTAGTTAATCTCACGTTTCTAAGCAACCAGGTAATTCTCTGCAGCTGATCCCTAAAGGGAAATTCCTGTTTTCCTGCACCCCTGCTCAGCTGCGGTGGAGGACACCATCCTTTCTGCCTTCTCCAGCTCCTGGGACACGGGGACCTGGGGCAGTGGTATTTGAGGATGGTTACAGCTTCTCAGGATTTCTCCAAATGTCGTGGGGGAGGGAAAGGAATCAAAAAAAAAGGATCTTTGTCAATGGTCTGTAACAGGTAAGGGTGTGTTCATTGCAAAATCAGTAGACTAGAGGGAGTGAAAAAAGTTTAATGTTTTACCCAGAGCTGAACTGAAAGTTATAGTCACAAGTGGGGGCTTCCTCTGCCCCCCAAAGCATCACAATGTCTGAATAACGTATTGCAAATCCTGTTTACAGTGAAATCTCTGTTTGCTGTGGAGTTTTGGTGACAAAAATTACTGAATTCTGTTCTGAGCCCCTTGGAATGACTTGTAAGGGATTAGCTTTTTATTAATAAAAGATTTCTGAACTTGATACTGTAGAAATAGGAGTTAGACGAAATACGGATCAAATGAGATCTCTGAGCTTGCCCGCTATCTGAAGAATATGGATGCCCGGTTGAGGCTTCAGAATAGTAATTATTAGACCTTTTTTTTAAGGAAGCCATGTGTAATTATTAGACCTTTTTTTAAGGAAGCCACATGAACCATACAAAGCAGTTATACTTCAGGGACCTAAGTCTGCTCAGCTCAGCTAGTGAAGGTGACACGTAGTGAGCCCAGAGGTATGCAGGAATGGTGAAGGAAAATGGGCAATTAACCTGAGTCCCAGCCCCAGCGGGGAGCCTCGGTGCCTGTTCAGTGAAGCAGGGCTGGGGAACTTCAGAAATACTCCTGTGGGTCCCGCGATGTAGGCTGCCTCCTGAGGGCTGCCCATTTGACCAAATATAAATGCTGGTTAGACTGAGTGGAAAAACCAAGGCATACTATAGTAATCAGCAGGAGGGAATATAGTTAAGAGAAATAGGCGTGCCTTGGCCATGTTGGACAGATGCATCATTGCCTTGGGGTTTGGGCTTTTTGACTTGCCTGGTGTTTGGTAATCTGAAACTCAGCTGAGGACCAGTCCCTGTTGTCTTGTGTCCTGTATGTTGATAAATATGTGCTATTGGCTACTGTTGCAGATGAGATTCTGGGTCAGATTGGTATTTAGGTCTGATCCAGCCTTATTGCTGTCCAGAAAATGCATGCTAAACCACCCTGCATGAGGGCTTTACAGCTTGGTTAAACAGATGCTGGGAGCAAATTTATTTAGAGTAAGTTAATGAGCTTGATGCATTCAAGCCTGTAACAGGCATGCACTTTTACAGGGTGGAGTATTGGAGTATGTAAACTTTTGACAATATTGCTTCAAAGCGTATTGGATTGTGAATTGTTAATGGGAAGGGTACTCATGAGATGAACTTACCTTGGCTATGTGGCTCTTCACTGACCCCAGGAGGACCATTAGAGCCACACTTCTGTAATGGCCAAGTAGCTTCTTCCCCAGCATTGGCCTGGCACTTAACTGGTTTGCCTATTGGTAACACAGGTAGATACAACTAGACAGGAGTGGCTGTCCTGCCCATCATGCAGCCTGCACACAGGCTTGCCTCGCATGACTATGCGCGGAGGAACACAACTAGGGCTGCCCAGAGGGGGACAGTTTTTATTTCAAGGCAGGAAATGCTGTCAGGGCAGATTACATGAAATGGCCAGGAAATCTTCCAGTGAACTCATTTTAATCTTAGGTCTGGATATGTTTTATCTGTTTTCATGTAGCCACAGAAGAACACGTATCACAGGGCTGTGTGGTTCACAGGCTTCCATTCCAGTTTCAGTTGTGCAGCTAACATCAGCATGGCAGGTCCTGTGCCATTACGTGAGGCTATGGGTAGATAACCAAGGGGTAGTGTCTGGCTGATAATCTGGCAGCATGTGCAGACCAGTAGGAAGCGCAATGAGTTTCTTCCTCTTTGTAGCTTTGCTGACCATGGGCAAAGGGAAAGATTAATGGGCAGGAAGTGCCTGAGAAGAAAAGGGAGATTAAAGCTGTTGTAATTTTGGTTTGGAAACATGGCAGAAGCATTCTAGCTGACACTACTGGAGCTGTTTTCTGTCAGGTGTGTCTCCTCTCAGCACCAGTATGGGCTTTCACCTGTCCTTAAATTAGTGATAATTAGAAGTTATTATTTATTTTTTAAACAGCAAAATGCAGCTGAAAGCAATTACCCCTAATTGCTAATTTGTGTATGTACACCCAAAATTGGAATTTCTTCGTCTCAACCCTCAGTTCTCGCTGGAGACCCTTGATGTGTTGTTGCTACTGTTTTTTACTTCAGTTTTGGATGGCATGATACTTAATCTTTTTAGTGGTTTCTCTGAAAGCTACAAAATATCTTCTTACAAGTGCTGTGATCTTCTTGAAAGCGTGATCTCATTAAATGTTAGGCCTCAGTAAAGAGAAAGATGTTCTTTGGTTTTGGAAGTAAAGCTTAAATTGCAGTCGTTGACATTGGGAATTACTCAATTCCTGCAATTTGTGACTAAAATCAACCTGAATTTCTATTTGATCTCAGTTTCATCTGTGAACATCATCATCCTTTTTCAGCATGCTAAAGGCCGCGCAGGCTGCTGTTTTTGTGCAGATGAATTCATGGTACAGTTCAGCACTGATCTCTGCAATCTGAAGTCTCAGATTGTTTTGAAGTGTAAAAGTTTAATTCAGAGATACCATAGCTTCTCCTTCCATCTGCATAATTTTATCCTTAACAGTGTAGGAAAGACTCAAAGCTGCCACATTCTGACAGTGGGAAATGGCCTTTCTGATACTGAAGGCACAATCTTGTGGAACAGATTGTTAGGTGGGTTGAAAACTGATGGGACCACCTTTGGCTGGACTCCAGGGGATCAAAGGGCTTTCATCCAACTGGCACCACGTAGTGAACAGAGTACCCAGGGCTCAGTGCTGGAGTCCACATTGCTTGACATTTTCATCAGCAGACTGGTGAAGACAGAGTGTGCCTTCCCCAAATGTCAGCACATCAATGTGGCACTAAATTAGGGGGAGAAACTGACATGGCAAATGGGAGAACCTAAATCCAGAGGGATAAACCTGGGGACTAGGCCAACATGAAGCTCATGGAGTACAGTAAGAAAAAGTGAAGCCGTCTGTACCTTGGCCAGAACAATTGCTTGCACTGGTAAAGACTGGGAGGTGACTATGGCTTGCAGCCCATCTGATATGGATGTGGGTATTGCCATGGATGCCCGAAGATGCCAGTAGATACGAAACTTGTGAGCTATTTCCCTTTTTCCAGGTGAAGTTCCCGACGACTGGAAAAAGGGAAATATAATCCCCATTTTCAAGAAGGATGACCCAGGGAATTACAGACCAGTCAGTCTTGCCTCTGTGCCTGGCAAAATCTTGGAGCAGATTCTCCTGGAAGGCATGCTAAGGCACATGAAGAACAACAAGGTGCTTGGTGACAGCCAGCATGGCTTCACTAAGGGGAAATCCTGCCTCACCAATTTGGTGGCCTTCTATGATGGGGCTACAGAACTGATGGACAGCGGTAAAGCAGTTGATGTCATCTACCTGGATTTGTGTAAAGCGTTCGACACTGTCCCACACGACATCCTTGTCTCTAAATTGGAGAGACATCAATTTGATGAATGGACCACTCAGTGGATAAAGAACTGGCTGGATGGCCGCACACAAAGAGTTGTGGTCAGTGGCTCAGTGTCCAGCTAGAGACCAGTAATGAGTGGTGTCCCTCAGGGATCGGTGTTGGGACCGGTCTTGTTCAGCACTTTGTCGGTGACATGGGCAGTGGGATTGAGTGCGCCCTCAGCAAGTTTGCCGATGACACCAAGCTGTGTGGTTCGGTTGGTACGCTGGAGGGAAGGAATGCCATCCAGAGGGACCTCGACATGCTTGTCAGATGGGCCCATGCCAACCTCATGAAGTTCCACCAAACCAAGTGCAAGGTCCTATACCTGGGTTGGAGCAATCCGAGGCACAGCTAGAGGCTGGGCAAAGAAGAGATTCAGAGCAGCCCTGTGGATAAGGACTTGGGGGTGCTGGTCGATGAGAAAATGAACATGAGCCAGCAGTGTGTGCTTGCAGCCCAGAAAGCCAATCGTATCCTGGGCTGCATCAAGAGGACTGTGACTAGCAGGTCGAAGGAGGTGATCCTGCCCCTTTACTCCGCTCTTGTGAGACCTCACCTGGAGTATTGTGTGCAGTTCTGGTGTCCTCAACATAAAAAGGACATGGATCTGTTGGAACAAGTCCAGAGGAGGGCCACGAGAATGATCAAGGGACTGGAGCACCTCCCATATGAAGATAGGCTGAGAAAGTTGAGGCCTTTTAGCCTGGAGAAGAGAAGGCTGTGTGGAGACCTCATAGCAGCCTTCCAGTATCTGAAGGGGGCTATACGGATGCAGGGGGAGGACTCTTCCATTAGCGAACTGTAGTGACAGGACAAGGGGTAACGGGTTAAAACTGAAACAGGGGAAGTTTAGACTGGATATAAGGAGGAAATTCTTTCCTGTTAGGGTGGTGAGGCACTGGAATGGGTTGCCCAGAGAGGTTGTGAATGCTCCATCCCTGGCAGGGTTCAAGGCCAGGTTGGACGAGGCCTTGGGTGATGTGGTTTAGAGCGAGGTGTCCCTGCCCATGGCAGGGGGGTTGGAACTTGATGATCTTAAGGTCCTTTCCAACCCTAACTATTCTATGATTCTATGATCCAACAGTCCACCCTGACTGGGAATAAGGCAAACGCTCTACTAGACTACATTGAGAAGGTCACTGCCACCAGACTGTGGGAAGTTATCATGAGCTTCTGCTTGGTTACTGGGAGGCCACAGTTGGAGTGCTGTTTCCAGCTTTATCCCCCACCCCAGGTCAAGGGGGCTGTGGAGAGGGTCCAGTGGGGGACTACAAAGATGGTAAGATGACTAGAGCATGTCCTGGGAAAACATATTGCAGGCTGGGCAGAGAATGGATTGAGAGCAGTGCTGAAGAGAAGGACCTGGGGGTGTTGGTCGATGAAGAACTTAATATGAGCCAGCAGCATGCGCTTGCAGCGCAGAAACCAACTGTATCGTGGGCTGCATCAAAAGGAGCGTGACCAGCAGGTCAGGGGAGGGGATTCTCCCCCTCCCCTCTGCTCTGGTGAGACCCCCACCTGAAGTACTGTGTTCAGCTCTGGAA